GACGAGGTGTTGGTCTAAAGCGCAAGTGTCAAGGACACTATTGCACAGCCCCTGCCACTCTCCCACACATTCCATCTGCTTATCAGTAGTTTACTATGTTTTTTTCTCATAGAAGCATATTATATAGTTATAGGTATTATGTTGGCCTAAAACAATTTATGACTTCCATTATCCAGTGAATAAACTCCTTTATATCCTCACGCTACGCTGGATACTTTAGTTGGGTACATTGGTCGAGATTTTTGTTCACCGAAACTGTGGGGGAGGGGGGGGGGCTGAAAAATTTGACAAAACATTCCTACAAGTAACACAGAAAAGATTCCCAATGAATGCGCTATTCCCACCCCCCCATGAATGCGCTGTTCCCTCCCCCNTGAATGCCCCGTTTCCCCCCCCCCCCCCCCCAACCCTTGGTGATTCACAACATAAAGTAATTGATGGCTAACATTCCATAATAATTAGAAAGAAACATCCTAAGTTTATCACACTTAATGTTTTCAAGAGTTCTTAAAATAGAAACTTAGAAATTCCTTAAAAAGAAGGTTTTTCTTATAAATCCTTTGTATTGGAAGAAGGGGTGGGGTTGAAAATCCTACAAAACCTGCATCTAAGTAACGCACTTGATACGAATCTCAATTAGTGACCCCCGCCCTTACAAGCCTCGCAACCACCTTTTCACCAGTGAACTTTATGAATATTTGATTGACCCGTCCGCTTTCACACGGCTGATTTATTTCACTAACTGTTTAATCAAACAAAATAATAATAAAGAATTATGCATCAAACGCTCTAGCAAATTAAAAAAAAAAAAAAAAGAATTTCATTTTGTGCAATTATCGGGAATTTTATTTTATCTTCCCCTTTAAAAGCAGGAACAAATTGATTTTTTTTTTGGGGTGGGGGGGGGGGGTTGAGGTTGAGTGATGGAGCTGAACGTATGAAAGAATGCGTTGATATCGGCAACGAGCCTATATGGCAAGTTTTAGCTCGATAGCTTGACGGGAAGTAAGTCAATAGACCGTCCGAAGATTTTGTCACGCAGCCAGCCAGCGGCCCACAAAGAGAATCACAGTTAATATAAAAGATTTAAAAACTAATTAAATGTTTGAACAAAAATGCCACGATGGGATTAGGGGTTTAAGGTAACATTAACAAGCTATGTACTTAGCTATGCATGTATAACCTTTATGGGTCACTTCAAACATTGGAAGATAAGGAACATTACACTTGCCTGCTGTACCATTGTTAAAATTTTTAAAGATGGCTGCCAAAAATAGACAGTTTAAGATAGTAGAAATCTGTTCGATGTATGTTAAGGAAATGTCTGGGGAAAAATCATTGTGATAATAGATTAAATAGAATAATTGTTAGTTTTATCCCAAATAGGATGGGGATAATAGATTAAATATAATAATTGTTAGTTTTATCCCAACTAGGATGGAGATAATAGATTAAATGGAAGAAATTGTAGAAGACTTGTTATGTTTATACCAACAAGGATCAATCCTACAATGCATATCTTACACTGCAAAATTTAATAAATCATGTGCATATCTTGCACTGCAAAATTTAATAAATCATATGCATATCTTGCACTGCAAAATTTAATAAATCATATGCATATCTTGCACTGCAAAATTTAATAAATCATATGCATATCTTGCACTGCAAAATTTAATAAATCATATGCATATCTTGCACTGCAAAATTTAATAAATCATATGCATATCTTGCACTGCAAAATTTAATAAATCATATGCATATCTTGCACTGCAAAATTTAATAAATCATATGCATATCTTGCACTGCAAAATTTAATAAATCATATGCATATCTTGCACTGCAAAATTTAATAAATCATATGCATATCTTGCACTGCAAAATTTAATAAATCATATGCATATCTTGCACTGCAAAATTTAATAAATCATATGCATATCTTGCACTGCACAATTTAATAAATCATGTGCATATCTTGCACTGCAAAATTTAATAAATCATATGCATATCTTGCACTGCACAATTTAATAAATCATGTGCATATCTTGCACTGCAAAATTTAATAAATCATATGCATATCTTGCACTGCACAATTTAATAAATCATGTGCATATCTTGCACTGCAAAATTTAATAAATCATATGCATATCTTGCACTGCACAATTTAATAAATCATGTGCATATCTTGCACTGCACAATTTAATAAATCATGTGCATATCTTGCACTGCACAATTTAATAAATCATGTGCATATCTTGCACTGCACAATTTAATAAATCATGTGCATATCTTGCACTGCAAAATTTAATAAATCATGTGCATATCTTTCTCTGTTAAATTACATTTTTGATCGTCTTCTTTTCTTTACTTATGCCAACTTGTTGCTGGTATTTATTGCCATAAAAATTTTTAAAACCTCTCTTCACATTTTTTTATCATTATTTCTCTTCACATTTGTTTATCATTATGCCGTTGTCTTATTTTTACAAGGGGGTGGGGTACATACATCACTGTTTAAAAGGTGATGAGGTTACTGCAGCCCCCCCCCAAAAAAAAAATAAAAAAATAAAAAAAATAATGAAACCTGAGAAATGTATTTTTATGAAACTTAAAATATTTCCCCATTCAGAAGATCCCGTTTGTCCACGCCGCTGGAAAGTCAAGGGAATGATTTAAAAAAAAGTATCATTGCAGTGTCACGGGACTTCATCTCTCAGTTTGATTTCAGAGCTTGCTTCTCTTCGATGAATTTCCATCCAAGGTCAAGGATGCTTGTAATTAGTTTTTGTAGTGTTGCGTTTGTTTAAAATGTGGTATATTATGGATTTTTTGTTGTTGTTTTGTTTTTTTTTTTTTGACTTTGTACCACGCTTCGAGTCTTTGGGAATGAAGCGTGTTTTTGAAATAAACTTTATTATTATTATTATTAAGGTTGGGCTTTGAACTCCTCTCCACAAGTTAGGAGTGTACTCAAAGTCAATCGCCCAGAACATTGGTATCTGTATTATTTTATGCATCATTGTTATATTATAGTTATTTTATTATCACATTGATAAAACATCACATTGATTTAAGATAATATTTCTTCATTCCATAAAACTCCACACTCTTTAGCCAAAGCATAAGCCCCCAACTTTCATTCTAACGATTTCACCAAAGGTAACCAATGGTGCTGGTGTAGCAGCAAAGGTAACCAATGGTGCTGGTGTAGCAGCAAAGGTAACCAATGGTGCTGGTGTAGCACCAAAGGTAACCAATGGTGCTGGTGTAGCAGTTCTTTATAAAGGTTCAATAATTAATTTACTTAAGTTTATCGATTATTTTATTCGCTCAGAGCTTGTTGGCATAGTTTTGTTAAATGTCTAGTTACTTGTAAAACCTTGTTGGTCCAGTTTTGTTAATGTCTAGTTACCAGTACAGCATTTTATTTCAATTTTGTTGAGTGTCTAGTCACTTGTACAACATTTGGATGCAGTTTTTTGAGAGTCTATTTGTAGAATTTGTTGGACTAGCTCTGTTAAAAGTCTAGTACTTTAAGACCTTGTTGTTCAAAATTTATTAAAATTCTAGTTACTTGTAGAGCTTGTTGGCGCAGTTTTGCTAAAAGTATAGTTACTTACAGAGCTTGTTGCTCCAGTTTATTAAAAGTCTAGTTACTTGTAGAGCTTGTTGGCAGTGTTTTGTTTAAAGTATAGTTTCTTATAGAAGTAGTTGGTCGAGTTTTATTAAAAGTGTAGTTACGTTTACAGCTTATTGGTCTAGTTTTATTAAAAGTCTAGTTACTTGAAGTTCTTGGTGGTCTATTTTATAGAAACGTCTAGCTCTTTGCAGTTGCTTGGTACATACTTTAACAGGTTAGATCATACCAGGGACCCTACCTGCCAGCATTGCTGACTGGTCCCAGAAAAGACTAGCGCCTCTGTTGACCGAATGTTCTTCACTAGATGTTTCGTGGGAGGCCAGGGCGGCGGGAGAGCCCTACGGCAGGAGAATGTTGTATGGCACTGCTCAACAGATAGCGCTGGCAGCCAATGTACTAGCGGGGGTCTCAGATCCTCACCAGAAGCTCAACAGATAGAGCTGGCAGCCAATGTACTAGCGGGGGTCTCAGATCCTCACCAGAAGCTCAACAGATAGAGCTGGCAGCCAATGTACTAGCGGGGGTCTCAGATCCTCTCAACAGATAGAGCTGGCAGCCAATATGTACTAGTGGGGGTCTCAGATCCTCTCAACAGATAGAGCTGGCAGCCAATGTACTAGCCGGGGTCTCAGATCCCCACCAGAATAGGTACGTTAGTTAGTTACTTGCAGTTTCTATTGTTCCCTCTCTACATCACTCTATATCTTCCCTGTCTCTTCCTTACTCTCTTTCTCTCTCTCCCTATCCGTATACATCTCTCCTTCTCTCTCACTCCTTATCTCTCTAACTCTCCTTATCTCTCCTTATCTCTCCTTTCGATCTCATTCTTAATCTCTCCACCACCATCTCTGTCAAGATGTCTACATATTTCTACATCTCTATCTCTGTCTATCTATCCCTCTCTTGCCTCAACATTTCTTTCTTTTATCTCTCTTAATCTTTCCCTATCTCTCTTCATGTCTCTTATTCTGAATGTATATATTATACATTACTTTCTCCCTCTCCATTTTGTCATTCCCCTTTCTCTCTCTCTCTCTCTCTCTCTCTCTCTCTCTCTCTCTCTATATATATATATATATATATATATATATATATATATATACTGACACACATGAACACTCAGACACACATGAAGACACTCCAGGAGAACAGAAGGGAAATGATTTCTCTCTCTTTATCTCTTATTTTGTGTGTATATATTATACATTTCTCTCTCTCTCTCCCTTTTTTCTCTCCCCTCTCTCTCTCTCTCTCTCTCTCTCTCTCTCTCTCTCTCTCTCTATATATATATATATATATATATATATATATATACTGACACACATGAACACTCCGACACACATGAAGACACTCCAGGAGTCCTGAAGGGAAATGTTTTATTCACACCTAAAACTCCATTTCAAGACATTTTTTACCATGGCCTTTAGACACCAGTCAAGGTAATAGCGTTGATGTGACACCTTGCTTGTGACATCAGTCAAGGTAACCTTGTTGATGTTTAGTTTTAGACGGAATTAATCCAGTCTCTGTATTCGGAAACGCGCGTGTAGAGACCTGGCCTGGTACCTGGGAGAGGATTGAAGGCGAAAAGAGTTTTTTTTTTTTTTTTTTTTTTTTTTTGGGGGGGGGGGGAATTTAGAAAATAAAATGTGTCACAAATAATGAATCTATACCTTCATCTTCATCTTCCTCTCCCTATCACGCTCCACACATACACACACATATCTCAATGCCATATAAATACAGCTAATGATATCTCAGTGACAGATATATACACTTAATGATGTATCAGTGACAGATATATACAACTAATAATGTCTCAATAAAAGTGGAAACCACTAATGATATAACTTATTTTTACAAGAAAATCAGTCATCTTCCAGTACTAACCATTAAAACGCTTAAATCAGCAAGATAATGTGTTTAATACATGTATAAATAAATGATTTACTTACATGTATAAGTAAATGAGTTGCTTACATGTATAACTAAATGAGTTTCTTACATGTATAACTAAATGAGTTGCTTACATGTATAACTAAATGAGTTGCTTACATGTATAACTAAATGAGTTGCTTACATGTATAACTAAATAATTGCTTACATGTATAACTAAATGAGTTGCTTACATGCATAACAAAATGAGTTGCTTACATGCATAACTAAATGAGTTGCTTAAATGTATAACTAAATGAGTTGCTTACATGTATAGCTAAAAAACAAATCAAAAAAAAGGATCAGATCTTTAAAATAAGATGCTCATTAGAGAAATGTTATGAATATAATAACCCAGTACACCAACTATATATGGAATATAATAACCCAGTACACCAACTCTATATGAATATAATAACCCAGTACACCAACTCTGTATGAATATAATAAACCAGTACACCAACTCTATATGAATATAATAACCCAGTACACTAACTCTATATGAATATAATAACCCAGTACACCAACTCTATATGGAATATAACAACCCAGTACACCAACTCTATATGAATATAATAACCCAGTACACCAACTCTATATGAATATAATAACCCAGTACACCAACTCTATATTGAATATAATAACCCAGTACACCAACTCTATATGAATATAATAACCCAGTACACCAACTCTAAATGGAATATAACAACCCTGTACACCAACTCTATATGAAATATAATAACCCAGTACACCAACTCTATATTGAATATAATGACCCAGTACACCAACTCTATATGGAATATAATAACCCAGTACACCAACTCTATATTGAATATAATAACCAAGTACACCAACTCTATATGGAATATAATAACCCAGTACACCAACTCTATATGGAATATAATAACCCAGTACACCAACTCTATATGGAATATAATAACCCACCACACCAACTCTATATGGAATATAATAACCAAGTACACCAACTCTATATGGAATATAACAACCCAGTACACCAACTCTATATGGAATATAATAACCCAGTACACCAACTCTATATGGAATATAACAATTCAGTACACCAACTCTATATGGAATATAATAACCCAGTACACCAACTCTATATCAATATAATAACCCAGTAAACCAACTCTATATGGAATATAATAACCCAGTACACCAACTCTATATGGAATATAACAACCCTGCACACCAACTCTATATGGAATATAATAACCCAGTACACCAACTCTATATGGAATATAATAACCCAGTACACCAACTCTATATAGAATATAATAACCCAGTACACCAACTCTATATGGAATATAATAAACCCCTACACCAACTCTATATGGAATATAATAAACCCCTACACCAACTCTATATGGAATATAATAAACCCCTACACCAACTCTATATGGAATAAAATAAACCCCTACACCAACTCTATATGGAATATAATAACCCAGTACACCAACTCTATATGGAATATAACAACCCAGTACACCAACTCTATATGGAATATAATAACCCAGTACACCAACTCTATATGGATTATAACAACCCAGTACACCCACTCTATATGGAATATAATAACCCAGTACACCAACTCTATATGGAATATAACAATTCAGTACACCAACTCTATATGAAATATAATAACCCAGTACACCAACTCTATATTGAATATAATAACCCAGTACACCAACTCTATATGGAATATAATAACCCAGTACACCAACTCTATATTGAATATAATAACCCAGTACACCAACTCTATATGGAATTTAATAACCCAGTACACCAACTCTATATGGAATATAATAACCCATTACACCAACTCTATATGGAATATAATAACCCAGTACACCAACTCTATATAGAATATAATAACCCAGTACACCAACTCTATATGGAATATAATAAACCCCTACACCAACTCTATATGGAATATAATAACCCAGTACACCAACTCTATATGGAATATAACAACCAAGTACACCAACTCTATATGGAATATAATAACCCAGTACACCAACTCTATATGGAATATAACAACCCAGTACACCAACTCTATATGGAATATAATAACCCAGTACACCAACTCTATATGAAATATAACAACCCAGTACACCCACTCTATATGAAATATAATAACCCAGTACACCAACTCTATATGGAATATAACAATTCAGTACACCAACTCTATATGGAATATAACAACCCAGTACACCAACTCTATATGGAATATAATAACCCTGTACACCAACTCTATATTGAATATAACAACCCAGTACACCAACTCTATATGGAATATAATAACCCAGTACACCAACTCTATATGGAATTTAACAACCCAGTACACCAACTCTATATGGAATATAACAACCCAGTACACCAACTCTATATGGAATATAACAACCCAGTACACCAACTATATATGGAATATAACAACCCAGTACACCAACTCTATATGGAAAATAACAACCCAGTACACCAACTCTATATGGAATATAAATGGCCTATGACAACATTAAAAATAAAATATCTGTGTAAAACTCTGCAGCAGTTTGGCATACCCTGCAAACCGACAAGACTGATACATGTAATATAGAACAACAAGCAAAATCAAGGTTCAAGGAGAATATTTAAGGGAATTTCAGATTAGGCGAGGCCTAAGATAAGGAGACTCTCTCTCTCTTGTATGCTATTTAACATAACATTAGAAAAAGTAACAAGAAGCATACATATTGAGACCCGAGGAACAATAACAAAATACTTTCTGAACTAAACCCAAGACCTACAACCAAAGGTCCCTCTCTGCAATCAACCCCTTTAGTCTGTTGCATATGCTGATGACATAGCACTGCTAGGGACAAGTGTTAAAGACATATCAAAATCATTTTTAAATTAGAAGACGCATTACTACAAGCGGGGCTGGAAGTTAACAAACAAAAAACCAAATACATGACCATGATAAGAGAAGAACAGACAGAGGAAGCCATTAAAATTAGAAACCACACTTTTGAAAAAGTAAATCAATTCAAATACCTAGAATATTTATTAAAAGAAAGAAACAAATTACTAGCAGAAAAAAAAAGAATATCAGCTCTTTAACAGGGCATAATTCAATAATCAGAAAATACTCAAAGTAAAAACATTACAAGAGAAACAAAGAAAACTATTTATACAAATTGTAATCCGACCAGGTGTAACATGCTCAAGGGAAACCAGGACGCTAACAAAAACGGCAGAACACCTGTTAAACACATGGGAGAGGAAAGTTCTCATGAAAATATATGGACCAACAAAGGATGAATATGGATGGAGATACGAACCAATCAGGAATTGAAAATTCTTTAGCAGGATCCACGATAATAGAATCAGCAAGGTCAGGCTACGCTGGGCAGGACACTTGGAGAAAATGCCAAATGACAGAGGAGTGAAGAGGGTGCATCACCAAACAACCCAGAGGAAAAACGGCTCAAATGCTTTGATTAATGGATGTGGAAAAAGATCTACAACAACGATACAGGATGCCTCAGATTTTTTAGGACTTTAAAGATGTCATGAGAATATCTTCTTAATTATCATCTTTCAATGCAGGGTGGAATGTCCTGCTTGTGTTAAGCAAACAAAATGTAAGTATATTACAAAAATAGTTAAAAACCATTTATTATTTTTTGTTACAATATTTTGGAGGATAGAAACTTAATGAATAAATGAATGTTCAACACGCAACAAGATCAATAAAATGGTTGCCATCACTAGGAGGCACCGCAAACATTATTTGATATGCTACATGCAACTGGAAACAAAATGACTTATTGTTTATTCGACTAAATTAGTCAAAAAGAAATACAAAAAAGCTTGTTTATTAGAAAGTTCTGAAAACTGGTCATTTTGATACATCGTAGATGAACGGCATAAACTGGTCATTTTGATACATCGTAGATGAACGGCATAAACTGGTCATTTTGATACATCGTAGATGAACGGCATAAACTGGTCATTTTGATACATCGTAGATGAACGGCATAAACTGGTCATTTTGATACATCGTAGATGGACGGCATAAACTGGTCATTTTGATACATCGTAGATGTTCTACGTAGTTGTTCTTACAATTCTCTTTTAATAAAAAAACATTGCCAATCGAAATCCTACTTCACAAAAATCGTTACTCCTTTTCAGCTTTCTGATAGATTCCTATCTATGACACAAATATATTTCGTTTTAAAGCGTGCAAAACAAGTGGTACATAATAAATAAAGGCTTTGTATTTTTTAAACCTCTGTTATGCTGAAAACATTGTTACAAAAGTAGCACATTGAAAGAAATCACAAAGGCTCTCCATACAATAATTGATGAAATGTGCACTTTTGTTTCTCCCTGAAAATTCTTAATTAAAAAAAATAAATATCTCATTTTTAAAAGTTTCGATTTGATATAACTCAACACACATGGAATCGATGAAATCGATTGATTGTTTAAAGCATAACGCCACCATACAATTGATAATTTACTCCAGTCCCAACTTTACAGGTCATGCTGTTATAATGAAATAGAGTTTGAAAATAGATTGCGCATGTTCGATTCTTAGCAAGAATTATTATTAAGATTGTAGACCATTATATTGATGTCAAGGTCATTTAATACAGTGTTATTTAAATCTTTAAACGAGTAAAGTTACACAAAATTAATGAATAAAAATACCGATATATATTATGCGAACTACACAAAGCAAGACATTGCATATTATCTGGAGCGCCAGTACTATATTTATAATCGACTACTATACGCCTCTAACAAATCTTTAAAAAGATCATCAAATATATCGTGCGTAGCGATATATTGTAGATTCACTCATTTTAATCGTTTCCCAAGTATCAGACAAAAATGTTGTTCAAACTCTTTGAACATTTCGTCATTTCTAATATAAAAAAAATATTTCTTATAGTGTTGTCATTTTTCTCCGCGGGCACCTGTCTTCGCGGGCAGCTGTCTTCACAGGGAACTGACCCCCCTTTCCCCCTCGAGCTCTGCCTGAAAAGAGCGACTGAGAGACAGAGTATGGAGAGAGCGACTGAGAGACAGAGAATGGAGAGAGTGACTGAGAGACAGAGAGTGGAGAGAGCGACTGAGAGACAGAGAATGGAGAGAGCGACTGAGAGACAGAGAATGGAGAGAGCGACTGAGAGACAGAGAATGGAATCAGAAATCACAGTCGCGTAGTCTGCTATAGTTTACACTGCTGTGTGAACACTGAACACGGTTGCGTAGGTACAGATGGCATTCATAGCAGTCGCTCAATAATAATGCAGACGTTGGGAACTACTTAGCGCTGCACGACTGCTAGTACTATATCAAACTGAGCTCTACAACTGAGGGACCGTGCAATCAATAGACTTACAGAAACGGATTTTTAAAGCATGCACAGAGTCGGTTTGCCTAAAAATTAACATTTCTTTTTTATTATAATGCTCATTTTGCTCCGGTGGGGCACTTGAATTTCCCCGGGATCGTGCCGCCACCCCCTCGGAGAGATGCCTGAAATAAACCCTGGCTGCTTACCTGTACAACCAAAACCACCAGTTGAAGTGACACCAGCCAGATACTGATACCGAAGACCACACATTAACTCGCCACCACTGTCAGCCTCGCAAGGTCTCGCGCGGTAATCTGGAGCTGTTTAGACATAATAAAAAAAGGAAAACCAAATTGGTCAAACTAAGAACAAAAGGTGATAAAATATAGTACATTTATACAGCCTTCAAGGGCTGTAACACTAGAAATGTTGGATATTTACAAAAAATGTCAATGTCTCATAATTCCACATGAACTTTTATTAAATGAATCTACATAGTCTAAAACCCTTTCCGATGATTTCGCTCCTAGGCGACCGTTTCGTCCCAGCTTTAAACGCAGCGTTTTCCGTTGACCAGACGTCCCACAGGCCAGGATGGAAGTTCCCGACGTGCTTCCGCACGGTATGGCGGCGTTGAGAACTGGCGCCTGGACCATGTGGAGGTGTGCCGGCGACCGACCGACGCCATCTCCAATGTGACGTTATCAAATACACACACATATTTTCGAATGATTTGAATTTCACTCTTGACATTCACGTTTCAACAAGAAACACATTTTAACTCCTACCTTCCCTATTTATTGTGTAGAGTTTTATATCCCTTTAGCGGACTTATACCTCTCCTACAGGGGCGGCTCAAGGCGAGTACGATGGGGGATCATCACACAAGCGCAAAGGCGCCCAAACAGACTAAGGCGTCAAAATTTGTTAAAATAAAAATTGGAAAAAAAATGTCTGAACTTTTTTCCCATAATTTTCCAGAGAGCGAGAATTTCCTATTTTCTCCCAACCTGAAAAGATCTCGCGCCTGCCCTGCCCTGCTCACCGTTCTTTTCATCAAAAACACAAATCTCCTTGTTGGTGATAGGGGTTTTCCAGTTAAACGCGCTACATCTTTCTGTGCTGATTGCCTTGAGGAAAGCCTCTCGGAGATAGGAAGAACCTTGTGGACTTTCCTCACTGATTCCCCAGCCCGCGATGGCGCATGTCTCCCCTTCAAAGCTCGATCCTTTGGGAGCTATCTCGGCTATCTGGAGAGATGACGTTATAAATTATAGGACAATGGGATATGCATGATACATCTAGCCCACCCCAATTCCTTGTAGGGCAAGGTACACTATGACGTATTATTGTGAACTATTTCTGTGACATATTACTGTATACATTTCATTGCAGTTTTTCTGTGACATATTTCTGTGACATCAAAATTTTCCTTACCGTAACAAGTAAGAAGTTGATCTATAATGAAGAAGATGTTTGAAGGACATTGACTAAATTCTGTTATTACCAGATAAACAGCTAACAATCGAAACTCTTGTTTTAAATCAATACAATCTAAAAAAAGCACGCTTTCAACCGATCTCAACTTGTAGCATATTACAAATCATATGTGAACCAAATTATATTACGTTTCCTTTAAATGATTTTTAATAAATTGTTTTCTCAAGTACCATAAACGAGGAAAAAATTGTAATTTCGATTAAATGTTGGCTTTCTTTCGATTCTGACATTGACATTAATAATGAAGAGCCTACACATTCTATATTAGTACAGCTAGAAAGTGAAATATTTCTATTTAAGAAAAACTAGAAAGTGAACTATTTCCGTTTTAGTACAACTATAATGGGAAACTTTTCCATTTTTAACACCACTACAAAGTGAAATATTTCCATTTTTGTACAACTCATAGTGCAAATTTTCCATTTTTAGTACAAGTAGAAAGTTAAACATTTAAGTTATTAATACAACTAGAAAATGAATAATTTCCATTTTTAGTAAGACTAGAAAGTGACAATTTTCAATTTAATACCACTAGAAAGTAAAACATTTCCATTTTATCAGAGCTATAAAGTGAAACATGTTTATATTTAGTCAAACAAGAAAGTGATACAATTCTATTTTAGTGCAACTAAAAGTGAAATATTTCCAAATGTTGTATAACTAGAAAGTTAAAGTTTTTCATTTTCGTCAAACCAGAAAGTGGAACATTTACATTTGAGTACACTCAGAAAGTGAAACATTTACATTTGAGTACACTCAGAAAGTGAAACATTTACATTTGAGTACACTCAGAAAGTTAAACATTTACATTTGAGTACACTCAGAAAGTGAAACATTTACATTTGAGTACACTCAGAAAGTGAAACATTTACATTTGAGTACACTCAGAAAGTGAAACATTTACATTTGAGTACACTCAGAAAGTGAAACTTTTACATTTGAGTACACTCAGAAAGTGAAACATTTACATTTGAGCACACTCAGAAAGTGAAACATTTACATTTGAGTACACTCAGAAAGTGAAACATTTACATTTGAGTACACTCAGAAAGTGAAACATTTACATTTGAGTATTGAGTCTTTCACTTTGTAAATGTAAACTCATCACTCAGAAAGTGAAACATTTACATTTGAGTACACTCAGAAAGTGAAACATTTACATTTGAGTATACTCAGAAAGTGAAACATTTACATTTGAGTACACTCAGAAAGTGAAACATTTACATTTGAGTACACTCAGAAAGTGAAACATTGAAATTTGAGTATACTCAGAAAGTGAAACATTGACATTTGAGTACACTCAGAAAGTGAAACATTTACATTTGAGTATACTCAGAAAGTGAAACATTTACATTTGAGTATACTCAGAAAGTGAAACATTGACATTTGAGTACACTCAGAAAGTGAAACATTTACATTTGAGTACACTCAGAAAGTGAAACATTTACATTTGAGTACACTCAGAAAGTGAAACATTTACATTTGAGTACACTCAGAAAGTGAAACATTTACATTTGAGTATACTCAGAAAGTGAAACATTGACATTTGAGTACACTCAGAAAGTGAAACATTTACATTTGAGTACACTCAGAAAGTGAAACATTTACATTTGAGTACACTCAGAAAGTGAAACATTTACATTTGAGTACACTCAGAAAGTGAAACATTTACATTTGAGTACACTCAGAAAGTGAAACATTTACATTTGAGTACACTCAGAAAGTGAAACATTTACATTTGAGTACACTCAGAAAGTGAAACATTTACATTTGAGTATACTCAGAAAGTGAAACATTTACATTTGAGTACACTCAGAAAGTGAAACATTTACATTTGAGTACACTCAGAAAGTGAAACATTGACATTTGAGTATACTCAGAAAGTGAAACATTGACATTTGAGTACACTCAGAAAGTGAAACATTTACATTTGAGTACACTCAGAAAGTGAAACATTTACATTTGAGTATACTCAGAAAGTGAAACATTTACATTTGAGTATACTCAGAAAGTGAAACATTTACATTTGAGTACACTCAGAAAGTGAAACATTTACATTTGAGTATACTCAGAAAGTTAAACATTTACATTTGAGTACACTCAGAAAGTGAAACATTTACATTTGAGTGCACTCAGAAAGTGAAACATTTACATTTGAGTATACTCAGAAAGTGAAACATTTTCAATTGAGTATACTCAGAAAGTGAAACATTTACATTTGAGTACACTCAGAAAGTGAAACATTTACATTTGAGTACACTCAGAAAGTGAAACATTTACATTTGAGTATACTCAGAAAGTGAAACATTTACATTTGAGTACACTCAGAAAGTGAAAGATTTACATTTGAGTACACTCAGAAAGTGAAACATTTACATTTGAGTATACTCAGAAAGTGAAACATTTACATTTGAGTACACTCAGAAAGTGAAACATTTACATTTGAGTACACTCAGAAAGTGAAACATTTACATTTGAGTACACTCAGAAAGTGAAACATTTACATTTGAGTACACTCAGAAAGTGAAACATTTACATTTGAGTACACTCAGAAAGTGAAACATTTACATTTGAGTACACTCAGAAAGTGAAACTTTTACATTTGAGTACACTCAGAAAGTAAAACATTTCATTGTTCACTTTGATAAAGGACATATTTATTAAAAGAAAAAGCTTTTAAAATAAAATAGAGACAAAGAATTATTTACAATAAACACATTGTATAACTATGATATGGAGGTTGGTGTTGTATGTAAAATAACATATATATTTTCATCCGTCCGTCACAATGTGACGATGCTGAAGACTTCGCAGGATGTAATCCACCGGTCTGGGACCTTGGGATTATTGTTCTAGGATTATAAGCTGGTTCCCAAAAGCAAATGGACTTTCTCAACGCCGCTGGATAACCCAAGAGAACATCATGGCACCTTGACGTTTTTGTTACATTGAACACGTGTCTACATACAGATATATCACAGTTAAACCATATAATCATAGACATAAAATGACCCATTTTGACGTTTTCGTTACATTGAACAGGTGTCTACATACAGCGATATCACAGGTAAACCATATAATCATAGACATAAAATGACCCACATTGACGTTTTCATTACATTGAACAGGTGTCTACATACAGCTATATCACAGGTAAACCATATAATCATACACATAAAATGACCCACATTGACGTTTTCATTACATTGAACAGGTGTCTGCATACAGCTATATCACAGGTAAACCATATAATCATAGACATAAAATGACCCACTTTGACGTTTTCGTTGAACACAACAGGTGTCTGCAAATAGATCACACCGATGTCATGTCTTTCCCCAGGTTGCTTGTATCTAGGATGACTGATACTCCTACTGACTGTCCGAACCTGGCTGTAATTGTTTTTGGGTCCATCGATCACTAGATCCAGGGCTCCAATCTTGATTCGTGTGGGGATCAAGTTGTTCAGAAGACAATGCGCAGCAGTAACCAGCTGTAACAAGTTATGAAGACACTGAGACACAGTAACCAGCTGTAACAAGTTATGAAGACACTGAGACACAGTAACCAGCTGTAACAAGTTATGAAGACACTGAGACACAGTAACCAACTGTAACAAGTTATGAAGACACTGAGACACAGTAACCAACTGTAACAAGTTATGAAGACACTGAGACACAGTAACCAACTGTAACAAGTTATGAAGACACTGAGACACAGTAACCAACTGTAACAAGTTATGAAGACACTGAGACACAGTAACCAACTGTAACAAGTTATGAAGACACTGAGACACAGTAACCAACTGTAACAAATTATGAAGACACTGAGACACAGTAACCAACTGTAACAAGTTATGAAGACACTGAGACACAGTAACCAGCTGTAACAAGTTATGAAGACACTGAGACACAGTAACCAACTGTAACAAGTTATGAAGTGTGACTCTGTGTCATTGGTTGACATTGTTCTTATGAAGACACTGAGACACATTAACCAACTGTAACAAATTATGAAGACACTGAGACACAGTAACCAACTGTAACAAGTTATGAAGACACTGAGACACAGTAACCAACTGTAACAAGTTATGAAGACACTGAGACACATTAACCAACTGTAACAAATTATGAAGACACTGAGACACAGTAACCAACTGTAACAAGTTATGAAGACACTGAGACACAGTAACCAACTGTAACAAGTTATGAAGACACTGAGACACATTAACCAACTGTAACAAATTATGAAGACACTGAGACACAGTAACCAACTGTAACAAGTTATGAAGACACTGAGACGCAATAAGCAAATGTAACAGTCTTTTAAGACAGTTAGTAGAAGTAAACAAATGTAAGAAGTAATAAAGATAGTGATGTGATATAAAGTATATGTATTTCTATCATGTGACATAATTTATATGTATTTTTACCATGTGATATAATTTATAATTATTTCTAACTTGTGGTATAATGTACATGTATTTCTAACATGTGATGTAAAGTATATGTATTTCTAACATGTAATATAATGACATGTGTTTTTAACATGTGATATAATGTATGTGTATTTCTAACAATTTATTTATTGTATATGTATTTCTAATATATGATATATATGTATTTCTACCATGTGATATGAGCATGTGTATTTCTTCCATGTGACATAATGTATACATACTTCATGATAGAGTTTTTAACTGAACTGGAAACCTCAGAATTAAAATCCAAAATAAAACTGTGTGGCATGTTAACTCAACCTGTTTTTTTCCGCTTTATGCGCAATGTTGTAAAAATAGCGTTACGTTCAATATATATTACACCTTCCTGCTTAGATCTCCTGTTGTTATAACTGGACATCTTATATGATCTAATTGTCACAAAACAGCTAAGATGGTTGCATGGTGAGCTTAGATGGAGTATTATTGTATCCCAAAACTTAGATGGTGTATTTGTGTATCCAAGTAACTAAGATTGTGTATTGTTATTAATATAAAAGAGCGAACATACTTGAAAACATCATGACATTAAATAAAGTACCTTATTAGGAGCAATGAGCACAGCACCACAGAAGTGTTTCCAGTTTCTATTTATTAAGACCTGAAGTGATGCCATGTAGGGATATTTATAGCCATCGACTTGTGATCCACCCAGAATTCTATATCCTTCAGTCGAAGTTTCAGTCACATCGTCCGTTGATGTCGTTGGATTATTTGCCAGACATCCAGCTGTGCAATTACAACAAATTGATGACAAGTTTAATTTCAAGTTAACTTTCCTCTAAAATGTGTTAAATCTAACCAACTAACCAAAAATATTGGTATTTAAATTTAAACACAGCTGAGCACACTGGTAGTCCATTGATTGAACCATATAACTAATCACCTAATAGACAGTGACAACTGTTCATACCTGGTAGTTCATAGAATGAACCATATAAATACTGACAAATAGACAGTAACCAACTGTCAATACCTAGTAAATTATGGAATGAACCATATAAATACCGACCAAACATACAGTAGACAACTGTCAACACCTATTAGTTCACTGAGTAAACCATATAAATACTGACTAAATAGACAGTGACAACTGTTAATACCTGGTAGTTCATAGACTGAACCATAGAAAAACTGACCAAATAGACAGCATACCACTTTAAAAACCTGGTAGTCCATTAAATTAACCATATAAATACTGACCAAATAGATTGTAGACATCTGTGAACGCCTGTTAGTTCATTGAATGAACCAGATAAATACTGACCAAATAGACAGCAGACAACAGTCAACACCTGGACGTTCATGTTTAGTATTCAGTTGAACGTTTTCGTCTTGAATGGCAGGAGGAAAGTTTTGAGGCACCGAAGAAAAGGCCATAAATATGGTTACATATGGGTCACGTGATTGCATTTTAAATCTTCAAAACATGAAGTCAAGGGTCACGATTTTGTAAAAGAAGGGAATACCAAGTTATAATAATTTATTTTGTAAAGTGATGAAATAATGAAATTATGAAAGTGTTAAGTTAAAAAGCGATGAAGTTATGAAGCAATGAAATTATGAAGTTATTAATTTATCAAGATATGAAGTTAGGAAGATATGAAGTTATGAACAAATGAAGTTATTATGTTATGAAAAGTACTTTCCTGATGTAGTTTGTTGAATTAGGAACTCAACTGAAATTTGAATATTTCTTTGGTCCTCTGAGATCAGTTAATAAGAACTCTAATTGATTTAACTACTTCTTAATATTTTTTTAAAAATCTTTTGATTCGTCTCCAATTTTCTTTGATGTGTGACTCTTCACTGAAACAATTCGTCTCCAATTTTCTTTGATGTGTGACTCTTCACTGAAACAATTCGTCTCCAATTTTCTTTGATGTGTGACTCTTCACTGAAACAATTCGTCTCCAATTTTCTTTGATGTGTGACTCTTCACTGAAACAATTCGTCTCCAATTTTCTTTGATGTGTGACTCTTCACTGAAACAATTCGTCTCGCTTTTTTTTTGACATTTCAGAAACTTGGTGGACGAGAATGGAAGCGGCGATATCTAAGGTCTCAAATATTTGCTTAGGAATTTCAATGATGCATTCGTAGACCCATGTCAACATTTGGGATAAGATGACCCATGTCAAAGTGGGGCCAAGAAGACCCATGTAAAAGGTGAGGAAAATATAAACCATCTCAAAGGTGGGGTCAAGACGTCCCATGTCAAAGGTGGGGTCAAGACGACCAATGTCAAGTAGCTGCAGTCAATTGTTGTTTTCTTCCTGGCAGATCTTCACTTATTGATGGTTAGTATAAAACTGTAAACATTTTATCCAGAAATGGCTTGATTTAATGCAGCTTTCGAAAATGTTGCTCCACATCCTCTAACATCAACTGGTTGAGTTTGTTGAAAAGCTCGCGCGACCATGAAAACCTTGCAACCCACCTTGAAAACCTTGACACCGACCATGAAAACCTTGCAACCCACCTTGAAAACCTTGACACCGACCATGAAAACCTTTCCTCTAAACCATGAAAACTGTGCAACCGACCATGAAAACTTTTTCTCTCACCATGAAAACTGTGCCACCAACCATGAAAACCTTGCCACCGACCATGAAAACCTTGCCACCGACCATGAAAACCTTGCCACCGACCATGAAAACCTTGCCACCGACCATGAAAACCTTGCCACCGACCATGAAAACCTTGCCACCAACCATGAAAATCTTAACACCGACCATGAAAACCTTTCCACTGACCATGAAAACCTTTCCACCTACCATGAAAACCGTGCCACTCAATGACTTTTAGGTCCACTTTAGTTCACACAGTATTAAAAATAAAAGTATGGCGTCTTGAACAGGATGTTCTTACTTAAAATAAAATAGTGTATATCTACATTTAATCCATTTCAATTTTTGGAGTAGAATTTTAACTTACACTTACATTAAAATCATGTTTTTTTAAAATCCGATTTCATTTGATTCCATCTCAGTAAAATTCATCAAAAATGCATCAAAAATCAGTTTTATTTATTTTTTAAATCCAATTTAGAAATGGTAGCTGTATTGGTAAATTAAAATAAATTTGATTTCACCTGTTATGTTCAGGTCCGTTTCATTGATCAAGACCATTTTAACCATCTGATCGTTTCTGGCGTCCATTCTGTGTGTGAGTGTGACGATGACTGCTTAGACCCTATTATGCAATATGCAATTCCCAGGGCTGTTATACATTTATTTCTAGCTGAAACTAAATATTTAAAAAAACTAAGCTCAATGTTTGAGACTCCCCGAGCCGAGCGATTACATTGTGGCACAACGTCTCGGTCAATACTTTTAATTAGGCTGAGCTTATGGATTATAGTCGTTATTAATAGCAACAGACAGTGCACATTCCCTTTGCTTTTAGCATGCTATACATACAGTGCACATTCCCTTTGCTTTTAGCATGCTATACAGACAGTGCACATTCTCTTTGCTTTTAGCATGCTATACAGACAGTGCACATTCCCTTTGCTTTTAGCGTGCTATACAGACAGTGCACATTCCCTTTGCTTTTAGCGTGCTATACAGACAGTGCACATTCCCTTTGCTTTTAGCGTGCTATACAGACAGTGCACATTCCCTTAGCTTTTAGCATGCTATACAGACAGTGCACATTCCCTTTGCTTTTAGCGTGCTATACAGACAGTGCACATTCCCTTTGCTTTTAGCGTGCTATACAGACAGTGCACATTCCCTTAGCTTTTAGCATGCTATACAGACAGTGCACATTCCCTTTGCTTTTAGCGTGCTATACAGACAGTGCACATTCCCTTTGCTTTTAGCGTGCTATACAGACAGTGCACATTCCCTTAGCTTTTAGCATGCTATACAGACAGTGCACATCACCATGTTTTAGCATGCTATACATTTTTTGAAAAGGTTACGTTTTGTTATGTTCTATTTTTAAAGTCAACTGGTTGATTTATATGTTGATCTATATGTTGATATCTATGTCGAAATCTTCATGATGCTTCTGATGAATATATTAACTGACAATGAACGTCACCGGGATAATCAGATGTGTCCAAAACATTACTGTGATGTCAGATGTGTCCACAACATTACTGTGGATGTCAGATGTGTCCACAACATTACTGTGGATGTCAGATGTGTCCACAACATTACTGTGCATGTCAGATGTGTCCACAACTTTACTGTGTTTGTCAGATGTGTCCACAACATTACTATGGATGTCAGATGTGTCCACAACATTGCTGTGGATGTCAGATGTGTCCACAACATTACTGTGGATGTCAGATGTGTCCACAACATTACTGTGTATGTCAGATGTGTCCACAACATTACTGTGGATGTCAGATGTGTCCACAACATTACTGTGGATGTCAGATGTGTCCACAACATTACTGTGGATGTCAGATGTGTCCACAACATTACTGTGGATGTCAGATGTGTCCACAACATTACTGTGGATGTCAGATGTGTCCACAACATTACTGTGGATGTCAGATGTGTCCACAACATTACTGTGGATGTCAGATGTGTCCACAACATTACTGTGGATGTCAGATGTGTCCACACCATTACTGTGTATGTCAGATGTGTCTAAAACATTTCTGTGTATGTCAAATATGTCTAACATTATTGTGGATGTCAGATTTGTCTAAAACATTACTGTGTATGTCAGATGTGTCTAAAACATTATTGTGGATGTCAGATGTGTCCACAACATTATTCTGTATGTCAGATGTGTCCACAACATTACTGTGGATGTCAGATGTGTCCACAACATTAATGTGTTTGTCAGATGTGTCTAAAACATTACTGTGGATGTCAGACGTGTCCACAACATTACTGTGTTTGTCAGATGTGTCTACAACATTACTGTGTATGTCAGATGTGTCTACAACATTGCTGTGTATGTCAGATGTGTCCACAACATTACTGTGTTTGTCAGATGTGTCTACAACATTACTGTGTATGTCAGATGTGTCTACAACATTGCTGTGTATGTCAGATGTGTCTACAACATTACTGTTGTTAAATATTCGCGTTTATGTTTTAAAAAGAAAGGTCCCTTCTTTTTCAGAGACCTGGCAGCGCTTCTTCTTACACAGCTGAGCAACATTTGACTTGAGTGATAAAGCAACTGAGACCCTCAGTATAGCTTGAAGATGATCATCAGTAAGTTTGTTCCTGAACTTTGACTTGTTTCAAACAGATAGTTACTTCCAAAAAAGGCACATGATCCGACTGAGCAGCCTGGACATCTCAGAGAAGCTGGAGGGCAATGCTCTCATAAATTGACCACGCTTGTTTGTCTCTCCATTCAGTCCCTGAACTTAGGATTGCACTGAAGGTCAATGAGCTCAATTTGAAGTGAAAGTTAGGGGGGGGGGGAGGGGCATCTTTCACATTAAAGGAGAAAGGATCAGCAAAAAGGGGAAAAGTGGCTCTGTATGTTTTAAGTCAAAATGCTTGTCATCAAATTCACCTTGTAGATGTGCAATGACATCATTATACTCACTACAGAATGGTGTGCCCGAACCCATGAGTACTTTTCATGATGGGAAATGGAAGAGGTTTCTCTAAGAACCATAACACAAATTGTGGGCAGAATACCCTGACATTGTCATAGGCAACACTGACAAGTTACCCCTGGTCTTGTTACTTCTTTTTGAGTACATTCAGCTCCCGTGTAAGGTCAACAAGAAAATCCAAGTCCATGAGCGATTGGGATCACTTAGTACAGGAAAAACTATCCCAACCTTCTCCATGAAGGCTTCAAATGCTCAAATGTGTTCAGATAGTAGGCAGGAGCAGGAAATATTGATGAATTATCGATGTGAAGTACAATGGTATTGTAGGGAGAATGAATTTTGATTTTTTTTTAATCGTTGAAACAGCCTTTTTGACCAACCCTATTTTGAAATGGAACCAAGCTAACATTCTCGGAATTTCCCTCACTCGATAACAGTAGGGGCAATTTTAATAAGGATTTTTTTGATACTGTGTCAAATTGCTATGATTTACGCAATTATGGTTGTGCATTATCCACAAACTGACCTTTTAAACTTTCTCAAAACCGCACTCTGGCCGCCATGTTTTGTGTCATCCAATGCTATGAAATAAAAATGTTTAGTCCGGTTTTAAACGATTTTTACCGTTCAAATAAACTCCCTTCTCTTGACAATCACAAGACCAATCAGAATTCGTCTAGTCACTGAGATTCGATTGAAACCGTCACGGAGGGTCACATTATAAATATGAGAATTGGGAAAACTCGCGGGCTGCATTACACTAAACTTTGCTGTCATGTAGCGGGCCGCAAAATATCGTCTTGTGGGCCGCAAATGGCCCGCGGGCCGTGAGTTTGAGACCCCTGATCTGCATACACATTACATATACTATACACATATAAAGGTTAACGAGATATACTGCCCAATGTTATTAAATACTATGTTCCGACTGGCGATTTTGTCCACTAGGTAGGTCCAACACACACATACACAGCTCATTGTTTGTGTGGCCTCCCTCTTCGCTTTGGTCACTGGTTACGGCGCACTGCGGGCATCTCGGTGGCGTGACTGGTGTCCGGTCACTCACACTGCGGGCATCTCGGTGGCGTGACTGGTCTCCGGTCACTCACACTGCGGGCATCTCGGTGGTGTGACTGGTCTCCGGTCACTCACACTGCGATGTGGTAGGCGCAGACAAACACTTAACGGTAGGCCCATACACACACACAGCTTCTGGCGAGGCCTCTGCTTATCTGCCTAAACTACACTTGTTTCTTTTAATAGGATGTCAGCGTAGTCTGACCCGACGGGATCGCGTTACCAATAGGTTCCAGTGTTCTAATGGATCTCGCTCACCATTAGGATCTTATTCCTCTATGGGACCTAGCTCAGGGCGATTTAGCTCGAATAAGCTTTTAGATCACGTTATACAACCCCTTAGAACAATATTAAACCTTCTGGAAGATTCTATATTTAATATAATATGCTCCATGAAACATGTAAAAAATTATTTTTATAAGTATTTTTTTTTCAAATACGAAATATTATACAACTAATTTGCACTACTATAACTATAGTACATTTAATTTAAAATAAGGGCCCCGGTGGGGACCCATATAATAAAGTGCCTTTTTAGTTATGTCTTAGATGGGAGGAGGGGGCCTATAAAAATCATTTAGATAAATTATAGAATTAACATTTCGAATATGTCCCATTAAAATCGATTTAAAATGCCATAGATAAAGCTTTTTAAAATTATCTAACTTTCTGGAAAATTCTAGATTGGATATTTTTTAGTTTTAAATCCACCGATATTTCAATACGGACTTGGAAGCCTAATGAACAAAGCTACACTTAGATCCATAAATTCACATAGAACCTATACCGTTGTCTAAACCTATTGATATTCTTAGAGCTTATAGAAGAAAAAATAAACTAGGACCCCCGGCCTCAGAGAAATTGATATTATGAGTTCAGTACCCTTCGGTATTTGAATATGGGTGATAATGTGTATGTGTAATAAGTTTGGGGAAAATCCATCCATTCATGTACGAGAATTAAGCCTATTGATATTTATATGGCTTTTATAGGAAAAATGAAATGGGGCTTCCGGCCCCAGATGTATGGATATTATAAGCTCAGTACTCAGTACCCTTCGGTACTTAATTTTTTTTCTAGATGGATAATAAAGAATATTTTTACTAAATTTGTATTTTGATTTTTTTAGGTAGTGAGTCTGTCTGCGGTCTAAATATTTTTTAGTAAGCGTATTTGGTGTAAAGATGAATTTTGTAGCTGTTGATATGTTGTTTATAATGTTGACGCTGTTGATATGTTGTTTGTAATGTTGACGTTTATGGGTATGAGAAGCTAACATTTGAAAAAAAGATGATAACTAATCGCTATTTCGGGAAAATCAAATGCCAATTGAATAGAGCGTAACATTCTTGAGTGAAAGAATCAACAATGTGAAGACCCGCACAGACAAGAGGAGGAACTCCTGCCTTTTTTCAGAGTGCAGGTGGTCCCCCACCCCTATAGAAATTTGGGATATTAAAATGTATGCGAAACCGGAATTTTACAAAAGATATCCGACTGAGTAGACTCTGTGACCCAATGTGCTAACCTTTGCTTTTCCCATCCAGGGTGAATCACAGATCTAAAGAATGCTGCTGGGTAAGGAAATGTGTCCCAGATTCAGAAGTGTTCATACCATTTTGAAATTCGTATTGGAAACTTGAAAGCGTTCCTCAACCCAGTAAAGCTGACTCACTTGTTCATGTTTGATGTCTATTGCAAGACCAAATCAAACCGTTTGAATTGGTTTTGAAAAAAATCAAAGCACAATAACAGCTGTATACTATGATGTACTTCACCGATTTGTGAACAACAACCATTTTGAGAACGATAACATCTACCTCTGTTTTGGAAAACGACTTCTTTTTGATGAAAAAGAAAAAAGGTTCAAGCTCGAACATCTTTGACATAAATCAGTTGGCCAGGGAAGACGTGCAATAATTGTTAAACTACAAATTATGAATATTTGTATGGGATAAATATTTATTAACGTAATGTTTCATGGCAGATTTAGATTATCCAAAAAAGATTATCTGGAAAATTCCGGTCACAATTACTTCGGGAAATTGATGCCTTACTGCTGAATTTCTTAACTTCGGGTGCCCTTGGACTGCGGGAAGCAGTGTCATGGATGCAGGAACACACACACAAAAATGGATTTATTTGCATTTTAAACTGGTATGATTCATCGTGCTTCCAAAAAAGTTACAAACGCCTGCTCTACTGTCATTACATTCAGATTGTGACTTAATTGTATTGTTTTATAGAAGTACGTGCCAAATAATCATACATTATTTCATTGAATATAGTTTGTAAGGATTTGTTTGGGTTTTTATTCTCCTACAAATTCTTATTATCACTTTGTTTTTAGAAATGTATGTCTATGTTTGTACCTGATCGTAGCAAGTCATCAGATCGTCACTACTGTACTTTTATCTAAGAAATAACAAAATATACAGTGTTCCTCCACATACAAGTGTCGTAACATACGAGATTTTTGAGTTACGAGCCGTCGAGCGGGTCAGCAGTCTGCACACGAACGCACCAGTTGTGCCTCGTGACTCGTGTGTCTTCTATTTTCCCGCTCCTCAGTCAGTGTTTTTGTTGGCCTCACTGTCGAAGCATCTTTGATAAGTTGTGCTCGCGTATTTGGCTTTTCGTGCATTTACAGTACTTTATCTCATTTCTTTTTATTACAATGCGTCCGAGGAAAGTGAGTTGAAAGGTCAGTGCTCAGAAGAAGACGATGCCTGTTGAATTAAAGCGTGAAATCATAGAAAAACATGACAAGGTGCGCGAGTGACTGACTTGACATTGCAGTACGGGCGTAGTCCTTTGCAGTACGGGCGTAGTCCTTTGCAGTACGGGTGTAGTCCTTTGCAGTACGGGCGTAGTCCTTTGCAGTACGGGCGTAGTCCATTGCAGTACAGGCGTAGTCCTTTGCAGTACGGGCGTAGTCCTTCAAAGCTATAAAACCAGTTTATTTCTTTACATTCTTTTTTATTTTGTTTTTATACAATATTTTTCATTTATAAATACATTTTTATTATTCAAAAACAAGTAACAAAAACAACTTTGGTGGCATTTTGGGGGCTGGAACGGATTAATATAATTTCAATTAATTTTAAATGGGGAAATTGCTTTGAGATTCGAGCTAATTGACGTACGAGCAAGGTTAAGGAACGAATTAAATTCGAGTCTGTATATATATTGCGGGAGGGGGGGGGGAGTCTTTGGTGAGTTGCTCACACTGTTCCCCCAAAGCATGATAGCCTACCTGGTAAAGTGAGTAATTTTGAACAGCCAGCATCTAGATGTTATTCTTTTTTTTCTTGATCCTTTCGTTTTTTTTTAATTTCCTTTCTTTTAACTAATAATTTTCATACAAAATATGAAAAGGTTAAATTGTACCTACGTCACCGCTTTTGAAAAAACTTGAAATCTGGGGACAGAATAGAGATCTTTTTTCTAGAACTTCTCAACAAACACAGATTTATTTTTTTCTAAAAAAAAAAAGGAAAATTAACACAAAAAATTGTTTACATAGTTTTGAATTTTATATAAAGATAACACATTTTTAAAACAAATTTGAAACTAAAAAGTCAGATTTTAACCCCTCCCCCCTCCTCCTCAGCCCCATAAAAAATGACAGAAAACAAATCCTAAATAATGGTTGCAAGTTTTAAAAATAATTGTCTATTTCAATTTAAATAATTTCTTTTTCCAAAAAATTAGTAATTTTAAATGTACAGGTTTTAGATTTTACATTGCTATGGCTAGGTCATTTTTTTTTTAAAATTGAATATGTAGCCATCAGTTGTCAAGGATTCTTGCAAGAAGGACTGAATTACATTGAGAAAGAAATGACCACCACTCTCCTTTATGGTGTCTAAGAAGGACTTAATTACATTGAGAATTAAATGACCACCACTCTCCTTTATGGTGTCTAAGAAGGACTTAATTACATTGAGAAAGAAATGACCACCACTCTCCTTTATGGTGTCTAAGAAGGACTTAATTACATTGAGAAAGAAATGACCACCACTCTCCTTTATGGTTTTTAAGAAGGACTGAATTACATTGAGAAAGAAATGACCACCACTCTCCTTTATGGTGTCTAAGAAGGACTTAATTACATTGAGAATGAAATGACCACCACTCTCCTTTATGGTGTCTAAGAAGGAAAAAAAAAGAAACAATCTTTTATAAATAGTTTTAAAAAAAAGAGTTTAAATGTTTCAATTATTGACATTGCCGTGTACTCGAAAATGTACATAAAGGTATTGTTCATGAGATCCACAAAAAAGTGTATATATAATGTTTTGTATACAGATCTACTCTCTGAACGTTATTTCTTGAATATTTGATTAATAGTGCATTAAATGCATAACCTGGAGGCAAACATTTTTTTAAAAAAATGAAACGTTACTTTGATGACTGGAACTGGAAGTACGATTTATTCTATTACATATAAAGGTTCGTCATTTGAACAAGCAAGATGAATGTAGTGTTGAATTTCTTTTTTATTTATTGTTTGATACATTCGTTATAAAACAGGTTGTTCTTGCTTAATTTCAAATGAAATTCTATTAGCATTTAATGAATGATCATTTTTTTTCTGAATATTTCATTCCAAGATATAATTAAACATCATGTCAAATTTAAATATGTGCATATTATTTTAATAAAATTTAATTCTTCCTTTGTCAACTTTTAAAGATTTATCATTTCTAATACACTTGGTCTGTTACGAAAATATTTCAACCAGAATATAGGATTTCCTAATACATATGGAGCTTAAGGTATATAACGTGTAGATTTATGTATTTGTGTAGGTATGCGTGAGTGTATGTATACATATGAAGACCACAAGGGAAAAAACGGCAGAGTCACATTTTTGTTGTTTTGAGATATTCCATTTTTAAAGTTCAAAACCATGCACATTAAAAATGTGTCAACAAAATGTAATTTTTAAAATGCATTTCACAAGAGTGTCCATTTCCCTGAGTTATTAAATAGATAAAGTAATTCAAACTTGAATGTAACATGGTTTATTTCATTATAGTAGAGAGTGAGGTCAAAATGGACTCTGCTGTTTTTTCCCTTGTTGTAATTTATCAATTTTTACCGGGATTCAACATTGTCCTGCGAGAGATGCGGCCGTGATTGCCATTCTAGGATTGGCCTAGTGAGACACACGTCAAAGTGTAGAACTATAGAGCTACTCCATCGTCTCACGAAGACGGAAGTATGCCATATATTTATCAAGGTTTGATCATTGATAAATATCTATTTAAAACTATTTTATAAGTAAATATTCACATTTAGGGGTCACTGGCAAATTACGTCACGCTCAGAGGGGGTGGGTCGAGAATATGCGACACTTTGTGACAGAGAGGAAAAAAAGGGGGGGGGGTCAAAAATTGTGAGTCACTTTTTTTTTACCTCTAAAAGTTTCTAATTCTGAAAAAAAAAATCATACTTTATTTAATTTGTAAAACATTAATTTGAGGTCAAAATTTCCTTAGGTATTATAATATAGGTACCATGAAACTCAGTTTTCTACATCTAAATCATTATGGCAGTGGTTCTCAACCTTCCTAATGCGACTCTTTAATGTAGTTCCTCATGTTGTGGCGACTCCAACCATAAAATTATTTTCGTCGGTACTTCATAACTGTAGAGGATATGCATTTGCTGATTGTCTTAGGTGACCCCTTTAAAAGAGTCATTCCACCCATAAAGGGGTCGCGAACAACAGGCTTAGAACCGCTGCATTATGGGAAAATATTGAAGAATAAAATAATATCTTAATTTAGTTATGAAAATTGTATGTATGTTTTTAATTTTTAGGTGATGTGAAACGGGGGGGGGGGGGTT